TCTGTGGAAATCCTGACGGTATTTTGTGTCCCTTTACAAAACACTCTCTGCTCTGCTGCTCAGTGAAAGATGTTAACACCACTTTTACTTCTTGTCTTGCTTCATTTTGCTTCTACTCTGGTGCATAAACAGTTTCTCCAGTGTTTGAGCCACGGAGCGTGCAGCAGTTTAAACCATCCTGCAGCCATAATGTGCTGAAATGAAAGTCACAGATAAACTCCAGCAGCAGAAGGAAATTCATCTTATTTTTGTATGTGATCTGTTGTTCACAGTCGTTCTTTGTGCAGGTGTCTCAGTCGTCGGGCTGCTCACTGTCACCAGCCGCAGCCTGAGGGCGGCTGTCATCAAGTGTTTAACTACTCAGAGACTGTTACACCTCAGGAGACAAATATCCTTTTTAATGAGAATGACAACAGCGTCACCCTCCCGCTGACCTGACGACTGAACTTACTCCCTTTAAAGAGTATCTCCTCAAAGCTGAGCGGCTAATTATGCAAAAAAACAACAAGATCTTATCTGGAGAAAACTTTCCCACTCAAACAGTTTTCACTTCAAACAGCACTTCACACCTTCACCTGTCAATGTGAACAAACTTGTGAGGTTCTGTATGTAAAAGTTACATGAGTAATTGAATACAGATTACTCAACCTAAGAAAATAGTTTAAAGGTCCAGTGTGTAAGATTTAGGTGAAAGGGATCTATTGGCAGAAATTTAATGTAGAATAATCCTCATGATGTTTTCACTAGTTCATTTCATCTAAATTGTATGAATTGTAGTTTTTTTTACCCCAGAAAAAGCCCTTATATTTAAATACTTTATATTTACATCGAGGGGGTCCTCATACGGAGGCCGCTATGTTTTTAGTCCAGCCTGGACAAACTAAACACCTTTTGAGTTTTTATGACAACTTAAGGCTTCCACAGGTTCTCTTTCAAGAGGAGGGTGAGGTGAGGGGTGTTCAGCTGTAACATGAAATTTCAACAATAGATATCACTAAATTCTACACACTGTACCTTTAAGTAAATTAAAGTCAATCGAGCCACATTGACAGAGTTTAGTTGTTTTTTCTTCTTCTGCAGTTATTGATTACAGCTTAACGAACCAGTAACACTTCTGAGGCCCAACATCCATTTTCACTTCTGCTAGGCCTCTGCTTAAGGTCCACGTCTACAGAGACTACGCCGTACCCTGGCATGCAGCTCCTCGAAAATTCAACTCCGTTTCGAGGGGACACAGACCGCAAGAGCTGTGATTGGTCCGGCAGACTCGCCGCCATTTTTGAAATGAGTTGAAGGAACGAACACGGACGACGTCTTTCTTTTCTTTGTTGCAGTTCTATAAGTAAAAGTCATTGTTCTTCAACATCTATCAGCTCGTGTAGGCTATGTGGGTACGTGCAGCGTAGCTTTGATGCAGAACCATGAATCAGCCCTTAATGTGGTGAGGCAGAGAGTCTGTCTTTCATGCACAGGATGGTAGTTTGCGTCCTGTCACAGATCTTCAATTAACTTTTCCGAACTTGTTTTTTATTATCTGTGACGTCAAGTTCTTTCTCTAACCCCTGGCCATAATTTAACCATAGTTTATTTGCTATAAAAAATATTTATTTTCCTAAACTTGACCATTAAACCACAGATTTGAAATGTTAGAATGTGTCTCTTTTTTATTGACATAATACAGGATTTTTCCCTTCCCCTCTTGAGGCAGTTAATCAATAGCTTCAGCAAAACTGATGGTGATATATTGTATTTATTTTCCATGTAGAAAAGAATATGGCCTATAACCCTAACCCTTATCCATAAAATAGTCAAAACTGAAATACAAATGCACAAAGTTTTCACTGTGATCTGATTTAACCCTAACATTAAATGTTTGTACCATAACATATCAAACTATAACCATATTGTTTTTCGCTGCCATACTTTACTTCTAAATAGTAAAAATTATCGGTCAAACCAAATTTTTACATCTTGTGATCTCCAGACTCCTCTGTTACCTACAGATGATCTGATACTGATAAATGTGCATATTCACACTATTATTTCTGCTGTGTTTTACTTGCGTACGTTAAATAAAATTCACAGCAGATTATAACTATCAGACCAGAGAGATCCACAAACAGTGTTGTGATCTGATTTGAAAACAATGAAATATTTTGAATAATTTGCAGGAATGTAATGATCTTTCTTCCAGAATTTTCTTGATTCAGGTAACAGTGTCTATACTTTAAAATTATCTGTGTGAAATAATGATTTTTAACCACAATAGCCAAATTCCCCCCAATATTCCAACAAGGATTGTCTTTAATTTGCTTATATCAGTTTCACATATGCAGTAAATGACTGATGCTAATGTTAACTAAACAGCATAATTAATGCTGTGATTTGCCAAATATGTGTTTTTCACCCTTCTTGTGGAAACTGTGTTACATCTGCTAAAACATTTTCTAATTTAAATCTTTACATTTAAAATGAATGGAAAATGAGCAGGGAAAAAAACTTCTAAACCCAGAACCTGACTGGATTGTGGTCATTTGCAAGTAGAGATTATTTTCTTGTGACATTCAGACTGTTATCAGCTGCTGGTATCTCTTTTCTAAGAGTCTCGCATTTGGAAACTGGGTCGGTCGAGGCTGACAGATTACAACCGAGAGGTTACAAATGTTAGGGTCATGCTCACATTAATTTTCTCCCGTTTTGTGGCTGAAATTGTTGCAGTACCTGCTGCATTGCTGCTGCTTCTAAACCTCACTGTTTCGTTAGCTGTGGGGAGACTCTAATCAGTTTTCCTTCATGAGAACTGAATGTGGCCACTATCAGCGTGATCACCTGATTTCTGCCGGGGAACGTATCAGAGTGACATTTTAGAGTCGGCCGGGTTAGTCATACCTGTGTGTGTGTGTGTGTGTGTGTCTTTGTAGCTGTGGAGACCATATCAGACGGGTGCGCGCCTTTCTTATCAAACTGCTCTGAAGGGTCTATTGTGTATGCAAGGTGACAAACTGCCTTAGATTCCCACTCAGACTATAAACCAGTTACCATTTTTAAGGTGTGTGTGTGTGTGCGTGCATGTTCTTGTACAGCTATCTTTGTTAGGACCATTTTGAGCCTACAACCCACAGAGTGAGGACATTTTGGCAAAGTGAGGACTTTTAAAGTGTGTTGTGGCTCTTTCCAGAAGCCTTTGTATTGATCTTGCATCATAAAAAGGCTAAAATAATCAGGATGTTTATTTCCTGCATGGACAGAACCATTGTATGATCTGCGGTATCTCAGCACATTGATTGAGACAGGGGTTAAACAACATATTTAGCGTGCGTTTGTGTGCGTGTAAGATTGCATATTGCTGTCGTCTATATTTTGGAAGCCTTGAGGCGTAGTGGCTGCCGGGCTTAACGTGACAGAAAAGAAAAGGCAGCGACAAATACGTGACAACTCCGACAACATGGGGCTTGAGCAACCATACCGAGTGGAGACAGGCAGGCAGGTAGACAAGTAGACAGGCGACAGGCAGACAAGTAGACAGGAGGCCTGTCGCCAGAGCAGGAGGTCGGGGCGTGGCAGCAGCAGGAACCAAGATCAATACATTTATTTTTTATGTATCTGCTAATGAGTTGTCACAGTGTCATTGCTGTATTTGTAAACAGCACAATGATTTTATCCATTACTTCATCGTCTGCAACATTTTAATATGGATCAGGATTCGCTCAATTTTTTTATGATACAGTTCTGCAGGTTTCCATATTTCAGCTGCTGTTCCCTTGCTTTTCACTCGGAAAACATGTTTAGAGAAATTGTTGAATTTCACTGAATAGCGTGTGAGTGGTCAGAGGAGGCACTAAAGATGAGCAGACACGGTGAAGATTGAAGAGAAAAATATTCTTCTGTTCTCTGTGTTTTGGTTTTATTCGTTTGTCTCTGGACTTGTTTGTGCAGTGCTGGGTCAGAGGCAGGTCAGTCACTTTTGGAGTGGTCAGAGTCTTGCTGTGCATGTGTGTGTCTGTGTGATGCTGCCTGTGCAGAGCTCTTCTTTGAGGCCCTCAGTGTGATCCAGTCGTGTTTAGTCTACCAGTCTGACATGTCACACACCACAGTCATTTGGTCAGGAGCTGTTTCAACAAGGCTCTGCTATTCCTTCAGCACGGCCTCACCAGCCGAGTGAAGGAAAAAGATTGATTGATTGAGCAGGACGTGCTAATGCTATGCTTATGTTCTTAAAACCTTTAAGTACCTTTTTTTTGGTGCTATTTTTTATTTCTTTGTAAAATCTGGTCAAATGTGTTGTCCCAAAAGGGGATTTCAAAATTGACAGGGCCCCAATCAGTTATTAAACATAAGGTACGTTTCTTATTCATTTATCCACTTCCTTTCATTAATAGAAAAATTGTATACATCTGTGTACTAATTAAAGTATCAAACAATAAACTTCTTTTTTTTAAAATATTGAATCTATAACTGTTTCACTCTTGGGTGGCGTGTTGTGAGGTGACAGTGTGATATCTTGTCACACGCTGCCCCTGTCAAGCAAAAAGATGGAACAAGAAAAACAAAACAAACACATTTTTTTTCTCCCCACATATTTTGCCTTTTAATAAGAAAAATGAAACATGAATCATTTTAATCACATTTAAACCAACAGCAACAAAAACAACAATATATTATATCAGCACACGTTCAAAAGTTTGAGAAGGACCATCACTTAAATAAAAGACATGAACTAAAATATGCTCCACAAAGGACGACATTGTGTGACCTGAAACTTGTGCGTCCTCTGAGTAATCCTTCAATAGATCATCTATACATTGATCTCTTATCAGACCGGCAGTCAGGAGAAGACTGCGAGGGTTCTTTGACACCCTTTGACATTGTTACACTGATCCCATTGAGCTGATGCATTGACGGTGTAAGGGGTCGCTCTAAGTATTGTTGTAACACACGCACACACACACACTATCAGCCCACCTGACCAGTGGGAGCTCCATAGTGCAAAGTACTGTATGTAAATCCTCCCATAGTGCATCTCTCCTCCCCTCTGCTGTTTTGGTAACTGACTGAACTCCCCCAATGCACCTCACCCGCCAACTGTTGAATGTTACAGGCTGTGGGAAGGCATTTAGCTTCAATGCTGTCGTATACGTTGCAACAGGAAATGATCTGGGTCTTGAAAAACAGAAACACAACATGCTTTTTTTTTTTACCACAGTTTCTTTGCCTCTTTCCCTCTGGCTGCAGTTTTTTGTCTCCTTTGTGCTCCAGCAACAATGAAATGGCTTTTTTTTCTTCATATCAAACTAAAACTACAAATATTTTTTTGAAAGTACAGACTTCACAGGCTACATTTACATTGATGGACGCCTGACGTGACAGAAATGACGGAACGTAATGTGAAATGCTGTAACAAAACAAAAATGTACTAAGCTGTCTCCCACTGCAGTAACACCTGCCTGAAGCAGTAACCTGAAACTTCTTATTTCCTCACATTTGGGTTGTAACTGGCTGACAGAGCACTATACAAGATATATTAAAATTTATTCCCTTCATAAATAAATGCAAATATCCTTTTTCCCCACATTAGTTCTATTTACATTTTGTACAAAGCCAATAATGCCGTACACAGAGCTCCTGCGAAGGGCAATGATGGAATCTGACGTCTGTGTTGACTGAACACAGATGGGTCAAATGTCTTCATCATCAGTTAAGACTTCTCAACGTCCAGCTTCACTTTTCTTTCCTCCATGTAACCAAACCCATATTTCTACGTTTATCAGAACCTGGTAAAAGAAAAAAAGCCTGTTCTTTGGTCCCTCAAACACGGTGGCCATTTTAGATGTGAGTCTCTTTCAAGGCCGCTGGACGAGAGCCAGAGAGGGAGAGAGAAAGGAAGAGGAAAATAAAGAGAGCTTGGGTGTCCATTTTAGAAAAGGCAGAGAAAACGAGAAGTCTCCATCTCGGCTCACCAGGTGTGTGTGTCCACATTAGGAAGCGTTGAGCACAGAGCGACTGTACAGAGTTTGGTAATAAGCACTTGAGTCCATGGCCACTGGCCCGGGGCTGTCGTAGATCTGCTTGGCCCCCACAGGAGAGGTCCCAGTGTAGCTGTTATAGGCCATCACCTGGTCCTGGTAGGACTTGAGGTCCATCTTCTGCTCATTGGACATGAGGTTGGTGATGGAGAAGGGATGGTTGAAGTTGTAGTGGGGGTCAAGGGACTTAAGGGCATCGCTCTGTAGGTCCATGTGCTGCTGCATGGCACTGGGCAGGAGGTGGGTGCTGCCTGCTAAGGACTGGGAGTGGAGGAGCGGGTTGGAGGAAGAAGAGGAGGAGGTGCCAGAGAGGGACAAGGAGGATGGAGGGATGGAGGATGAGGTGGAGGAGGAGGGAGGCAGGGAGACCGGTGGGCTGTGGAGGTGTGAGGAGGACAGCGCAGGGCAGTCTAGTGGAATCAGGGAGTTTCGGGGGTGCGGCTGGTCATCTGAGGAGCCTGGGTGGGAGTTGTCTGAGTGGGTAGAGTCGGCTCCCTCTGATCCTCCTGTGGGGCTGCAATCCTCCCCTAGGTGATCTCCACTGTGGCGTCCTTTCCCTGAGCCCATCTCCTGGCTCTTGCCTCCTTTCTTTGCCATCTTGTCCTCGATCTTGAAGCGCTTCTGGCGCCTCAGGTAGCAGCCGTTCTCGAACATGTTGCCTGACTGTGGGTGCAGAGTCCAGTATGAACCTTTGCCTGGCTTGTCTGGTGAGCGAGCCACCTTTACAAAGCAGTCGTTGAAGGAGAGCGAGTGGCGGATGGAGTTCTGCCAGCGCTGCTGGTTCTCGCGGTAGTAGGGAAACAGGTCCATGATCCACTGGTAGATCTCGTTCAGGGTGAGCATCTTGCTGCCGCTCTGCTGGATCGCCATTGTGATGAGGGAGATGTATGAGTATGGCGGCTTGGCGTGGGTCAGGGAACGCCGGTAGGGCTTTGGGGGAATGTCCTTGGGCCCGGCCCGGCTCAGGGTCCCAGTCGAGGGGTATCCCAGCTGACTCATGGACTGGCCCATGTTCTGGTAGTGGGACAAGGAGCCCAGGGAGCTGGAACCAGCGGGGCCAAGCTGAGTCAGAGAGCTCGTGCTGAGGGACGAGGCCACCGGGGAGAGGGACATGTGGCCGGGCCCGGGTCCCATGGAGGCCAGCGGGGAGCTGCTGATGCTGGAGCTGGGGTACGCCATGTTCATGCCAGCAGGGGAGGCGGTGGCTGGGTTCAGGTTGATGTAGCTGTTGATGGTGCCCATTGAGCCCAGACCTGAGTTCATGGTGCTGGGGGAGGAATACATCTGGACACAGAGAGGAACATCTGGTTACTCACAGGAAACATCACACTGGTGCAACAAAGATTTCAACAGTGTAATTAGTAAAACAAATTATAATAGTGTTATATTGACCTTTAATTAAATTTTTGACCGTTTAAAATCAAATCACAAAGAGTTCTGTTCTGAGGGTTTGATTGAATTTATTTTCTCTGCTGTTAAACTGCTGTTAAATGTGAAAGGAAAAAAGATGGACTAAAAAAAGGAGACTTCTTATCAATGCACAATGAAGCTCTCAGTGTGCGGAGAGGACATGGATTTCACACGGCGATGTTAACCTGAAAATGCGTAAAAGTGCGTCATGGTGCCTCTTGAGTTCAGACGGCCTCCTCCACTGCTCCCATGGAAAAAACATGTTGTCCAGCAGTCAGATTAAAATGGAGGGATTTTATTATTTCATTCTATATTTATTATGTTCGGGAAAGGATGCATTTTTCAGTGTTAAATTGCAAAAATGAACTTTTTGAATAAAACCTGTAAAAGCTTTCAAGGTGAAGGAGAAGTTTTTTTTTTAAATCCACAGGGGGACAGGAGGTATCTCGGCTCGTTTACTGATCGTTGGTTAAATATTATCCGACTCTTTCTTCTCAGTAATTTCATCAGGTCGAACTAAGGTGAGAACTGAAGCTGCTGATAAAATTAACTCTGACTGAATTAAAACATTTAGGCTGCAACACAAAGAGAGAAGAAGAAGGAGGAGGCAGAATGATGAATATAAAAAAATGTATACTTTCAAAAACATCTGTTTTAATCATATAATTCCAACTTTATTACTTCTCAGCGATTAAATAATCAATTTAAAGTAGAAGTTATTGTTTCATTTGCTTCAGATTATTAGTAACTGTTGCTGTAATGATTTTAAATATTTCAATTTGATTTATTTGATAAAACTGCAAAAAATTATTTCCCTTCATCTGTATCCATTAAAGTGCACATTAATTCTGATTTTATCACAAGTTTATTTTAATTCCTTTTTTACTTCTACTTAATTTCGAAAGTATTTTAAGGTTTTAAGTCCTGATAATATTGTTTTAGAATTTATAAGACTCCAGCTTTTTTTCGAGCCCTTCTGTGCGCAAATAAAAATCTGTCATGACTTTTCCACCTGAATCTAAAAAAGAAAACAAGATACAGACCTACTTCATGAAGACAATGACATTTATATTCCTACAAAACATTCTAGTTTTAAAATTATATTTATGTGTGAATCCGTCTTTACCTCACTGGCCTCGCTGTAGAAAGTATTCCACTCTGGCAGATCATGGGTTTCCATCTTCACAGAGCTCAACATCCCCAACACAAACCTCTGGAGGATGAAGTCTTATTTGAGGCTTTTGAGGGAAAAAACTATTTTCTTTAAAAAATAAATCAAAAATAAATATAAAATCCGTCGCAGAGTTTGAGAATTTCAGGGGAAAATCCAAACGTCGATTTGTCTCCTTTGCCAAGAACGAAGGAGAGAAGATCTCGAACCCCCCCCAAAAAATGTGAGAGGAAAAAAAAGTGAAATAGCGAAGAGACTTTCTGCTCCTGGAATAGTAAAGTCAATATTTCTTATTTGTCACTCATCCATTGTTTCATAACCTGACTCTTGTTATGTCCCAGCAACTTTTGTCCCGTGTCTCTCTCGGTGGACCGGGGGCCTCGGGACGCAGAGCTGTTGCGCGCAAATACAGTAAAGAAACTTGGACGCGCTCCTCTTATACGGAGCACCGGGTCCCGCCCCGCTCCTCACATTTGAATACGGTGTTAGGATCCAGGAAGGGCCCTGCAAAATGGCCGATATGGCCCCCTGGCGTGCTGTATATTGGCCCGGCGGCAGCACCGGGGCCACCCGGACCACTGACTGTCTCACAGAGTTTTCAGGATAAGGGATGACGCTTTATTTTTTAAGTGAACTTCATAAGAGGGAGGTGTAAATATGGTCAGAGGGTAAATATTAAACAGGATTCTGATCTGCAGATGTAAAATTCGGGGTTTGGTCAATAAATAGAAACAGAACTTACCCCAGAAAAAGTCATCATGTGATTCAGGTAAACCAAAAACTTTTTTAAAATTGATTTCTTTTATTAATTCCAATTTATTGGTGGTTTATAGGAACTAAAAATAAATGATGCTTGATAAAGTGAAGTTTTAGCACTTGATCAACAGGATAATTAGATTTATTTTGCAAAGATCGCCTGTAGATTGAGCGAGTTTGATTGGGGGTGTGGAGTGAGTTTTTGGGGTGTGTGTGTGTGTGTGTGTCTGCGCTCAGGGGTGTGAAAGTTGTTAATTCCCCCGGCTATCACTTCTCTGAGGCCCTGAGCCTTTTAACACGTTCCCCCCGGGGCTTAATTGTAATAACCGCCAAACTTATTCCAGATTCTGGTCTTTGATAGTCAAATATTTTCCTGATAGTCATGAAAAACCACGAATATTTGACTATCAAAACAAGAAGCAGATAATCAGAGATCCTAATCAGAAAACTGCAAACCCCATAAGTTCCCACCGCCATATTCAGAGTAATTAATTATATTTAAGAACAGACCCCCCCCCCCCGTGTGTCACGTGTGTTTCTGCTGCACCAAAAAGATAGATATTAAAACGTAAAGAATAAACAGACGCACGTGTTTGTTCGTGCGTAAGTACTGCGTAAAAGAATGTACTTGTACTTCAGCTCTACATAATGAAAAACAACAACAATTTGCTCAGTTCCATTTGGTTCAACTGCATTCTCCAGTGCGTAATTTGTGCGTAAATGTGGGACGGTTAAAAACGAAGGGCCTCTTCTTGGAGACTTCCTTTCTCCTCCTAAAGAGACATTCGGGACCCGACGCGTCAGAGAAGCGGCCAACAATAAATAATGTAATCCCGGTGTAATGCACAGGGCCCGAATACACATCAGGCCTCGGAGCAGACGGAGGACTGTGAATGTCAATGCCTCTGCCTAATGGCCGCTCAATGGAGATGTAATTGATGCGCAGGCGGGAGGTCGATGGGATTAGACGGTGAGAAAAAAAGGAAATAAGAAATAACAGGAAGGAACATCAGCGCGCACACGCAGCAGAAACATCAGGCAGAGAGGGTCGAGTGTTAAACAAGGGATGACGTGTGGGAAAACAGCACCTTTATGAGATAGGAACATTTGTTGTATAGATTTCTGCAGCGTCCGGTTGTAGTGGGTGGTTTTTCTATGAGAATCAATCAGATGAGGCCTTTCCTCAAACCCTCAGAATGACCATCATCGTCTTCATCGTGATGTTTCAGCTGCAGCTCCGAGATAAAAAGGAAATTTAGCCAACATCGTCAATCAGAGTCTCCGCAGGACTTCACCTGTAAAAGTCTCGACGATTATCGCCTGTTTGCAAAAGGCTGTGAAGTCGATTAACACGCGGAATGAGCTCACACCTCAGTGTCTGTAATGATGTAATTAGGCCTGAAAGAGATGAGCTTTTTTTCATCCGCACGGTGATGCAGCTGGAGATAAAAAGGTGATCAACTTTGACCTCCAGCCTCTTCAAACATCCGCAGAACGTTGACGAACCAAACGCAGGATAAAGTTGATTATCATCGAGGCAACATGGGAATAAACAGGTTTCTCTCGGTTCTTGGACTTTGTTTTTCAGTTCCTTCATCAGCAATAAGGCACCAAATATCTTTACTCCATCAGAGGGTTCACATCCCCAGACTGATGATAAAAAAGATTATTGTGTGATCAGTTTGGGAGGTGATAAGAGTTTGTTCCATTTGTGACTTCACATATTTTAAGCTTTAATCTGCTGAATTAATGATGTGGAAGGTTACACAGCCTCACATCCTTGCAGCTTCTAAAAGAGAAATACAGACACACCAGTGCGCAAAACGTATTCCTCAAATGGTTTCGGTCCTCTGTTCATTATAATAAACATTATTATTACACATGTGTTATGAAAAGGAGGCTCTCTGAATCTCATAGCAATGGATTGTAAGAAAACCTCACTTTTCCACACTTCTCTGAGGGATGCTGATTTGGGTATTTTGGTCATGACGCACCAAGCCTTCTCCTCTCCTCTCAGTACGCAGCTTTGATTGGTGTAATGCTCCTCTAAGGCCCCCCCCCCCAAACTCACATTTAGTCATATCCTCTCTCTGCGGGCATTTTTCATGCCAATAGCTCCTCCAGCGTCCATTAACACCTCTTTAATTGGTTTAACAAAAGCTGTAACGAGCTGCGCCTAATGGAGGAAACGATTTCATTCACTCACCCCCCCCCCCCCCCCCTTCCCTCCACTTTAACATAAAATCAGCAGCTTCAGCATTAAGAAATAATATTTTACCCACGTTGCTTTGAACTGCCTTAGATTAGGAATTTGGTTCGATGCTCATTATATTTTATATTTGAGACAGACTCCTGCAATGGATTTTAAGTTATAGTTCCGTTTAGCCTACATGTGATTTAAAGGTCACCTGAGGTTTGTTGGCTTTACAGGACCTAATATCCTGTATCTGAAAAAACGTGGTATAATCAACCTGTTCAGTAGCTTCTGGGCCTTCAGAGAGTTGAAGAGCGCCATCATGTGGCCATCACGAAACACGTTACACCTGCACAGTCTGTATTTGGGTCTAATGAAAGGTTTGCTGTAACATATTAT